AATCTCGGGGGTTAGTGTTACGTAAATTATGAACTTTAGATTGATAATAGCTCTTACGACAACGTTTTCGTTCACGATTAACTTTATTACGTAACATTTTAAAAAGAGTGACATTACCAGATGCAAAGGCTTTTTGTCGTCGATTTCTCAGTGATTTCAGATTGCTGTTGACCCATGGTCGATCATTAGGGTGGACTTTTATTGAACGTTCAGGCATAATTAAGTTCAAACCATAGTTTATAATGCTAGTTAAAAAGTATAGTTTTTGATCATTTGATGGTATGGACGATAAAATGTCCCATGGAATTTCCTGGAGAAATCGACCAAGACTTCTAATATTACTGGGTCGCTTGTCTCTTGTTTTAACAATACGCGATTGTGGTTCGTGCGATCTTTTCCTCGTTCCAGGACACATGGCAATTGTTAGATGGTCTGATAAGCCAAACGGAGGAGCACTAGTAGGAGGTGAATAGTATTCAAATAGATTGGTATAAATTTGATCAAGAATATTGGCACCTCTGGTGGGAAAATCAATTACTGGTTTTAGTTGAAAAGGTTTAACAGTAGCCTGTAAGTCCAATTTGTTGAAATCACCGGCAATAATAATTGCAGGGTTAGGAATTGAAGATTCAATGTATTCTAATGACGATTGGACATAGTCACGCATACTTGTACAATCGGCATCTGGAGGGTGGTACACAACAGCTATTATCATATTTGAGTAATTTCGTGGGAGTCGTTTTGGTTGTAAAGCTAGCCACAATACTTCGTGATTATCACTATCTAACTCCGTTAGGCGGTTGCAAGAAATGGTATTGTTAATATAAAAACAAACCCCACCATGGGATTTGTGTTGACGATCACGCCTGAATAATTGGTAATTTGTAATATTAATAGCTTCATCTGGAACGGATTCTTTTAACCATGTTTTGCTGAAAAAGGCAATATCTATATGATTCGAAGTGAGAAATACAGCAATTTCATCGATTTTCGGGGCTAGCGACATAGTGTTTGACAATAATATAGCAGGTACAAAATGCGACGAACAAGACACCGTTTTACTATTAACTTCGGGGTTCACAGATACATGAATTAAATTGCTTGACTTGATTATCTTACGACAGATGAGGTTTGGGTTGACATTTTCCTGGTTATTATTATATAAACAATGTTCAAGTAAGCTTTCCAATTCTCTTTCCATCCCGGAAGACGATTTACCCCCGGCCTCGTCTAATAGTAATATTGGTAAAAGTTCATTTTGTCTCTCAACATTGTACGTGCACGAAAATCCTTTCCCGAATTTTTGTTACGTTTATTATGTTTCCTAGATGGTTTTCGCTGGGTGAAGCGGGTTGGGATAGATTGGTAATTATTCATAGGAGTTGTATCATCTGTAATAATTCCACTATTACTGGGATTAATTACTGTGAGATCTAGACAATGGGGACTACTTTCATTATGTTGGCCATGGTAGTGTAAGTATCTTTTGTTAATATTAGATTGACAAATCTCCACACATTCCTTCTCAATTATTTGGCTAGTATTTAATTGATCCTGAATGCCTTGTGGATTGTGGTGCAAATCATGACATGGGTTCTTTAAAATTGGTGTATTATTTGAACAACTCTTAAAATTTGACTTGGAATGACTAGGCAAATACTTTCCTACTAAGGTTTCGACTATACTGTCCGTATTATTCTGCTTTTCGATTATATTGTCCGTATTATTCTGCTCAGGTTCGTCCGAAAAATACAAGCAAGTAGGTGTAATCACAGACGCAATAGGGCTATTATAATTCGTACATTGTACAACACATTCAGCCGATGTATTATTGGGAGATTTACTTAGTTGATCCAACGGTATAGATTTTGCATCGGTTGTTGATGCTTCTAATTTCGCCAAGGTTTCCTGCAAACTAACAAGCGTATTTGCCTGTTGTTTCACTGATGATTCCAAGATAATGACAACCAATTTAACGCCTTCGATATCAGAACTGACTTCAGGGCATTTACACATGTTATGAGACGAGCGAATATTATGGTCGTCAGAACCAATGTCATGCAAAATCAACATCGGAATTGAACGTTTAACTTCACTTGCCTGCTTTCCCTCTATCCTAAGAAACTTCTTTTTAGCCCACCAATGGATATCAACGTTTTTGCTTTTAAACAACTTTTTCTCCCCACCGATCGATGACCAAGTTCCTTCGAAATTTAATTCGCTATCAACAAACAATTTCAGCGATTCATAATCACCAGACCACGATAGTTTTAGTTCAGGATATCGATTTATATTCGATGATTGAGTTTGATGTGTAGCTGTTGACATCGTATAGAACTAAATTACACAAGTGTTTGATGTTCTCAATACTATTGAGATGCGCTATCTAGTGTATATAAGATATCTATGGCAGCAACCCCTCGCATGTATTTTCCAAGCTTTGATTTAGCATGAAGTATTAGTAATTGATCAACACTTAAACGCAGGCTCGCATTTACGTCAGTGTTGCCATGGCAACACGATAAATTTTATTTTTATTATAATGAATTTCCGAAATAGGTACTGTAGGTATGTTGTTCTGTATTTTGTGAGCTTTGATTAAATGTAAAATTTAACCTGCATCGCTTCGTAAAATGTTTTGAAATGTTCATTTTAATATTAAACTATAAACTGCTCTTTCCGATAAACTGTTTTTACTTTATAAAACAAAATAAGTTCAAATAATTATTGAGTAATTTCAGTTCGGTTTTCAAATTAATTTGGTCTCCTTTACATTTTACCTTTTTTTCTTAAATTAAACAGCGTAATTTAGCAAACTTTAATACAGGTTTATTGAAAAGGAAAGCAGTGCATGTTTTAATACGCAATTAAATTAAAGCAACAAAATTCATAAACACTAAACGTTCAAAGCAAACTTGCCCTATATTCCGCGATTTTCCACAATTTATTCTCATTTCTTCAAACAAAAATTGCTGCATAGCTCGTTGTGTGAAACGTGATTTTCCAAATATATGCTTTTGCATGGGCGTACCGGAAAGTTTCTCCGGCAAAGTTTGGAAAGTTTCTCCGGCAATTTTTTTTGACAACGCGGGCACAATCCGAAAAAGTCGGGCAAATTTCTTTCCGCCCCCCTAATTTTTTCCTTCCCGTACGCCCATGTGCTTTTGAAAATTGAAATCTTGTTTATCCCACTCCTGGCAAACAGCCATATCATCGCGATCATTGATGAACTTTAGACTTGGCTAAAACAGGGTGGACTTTCGTCGACGCTACATAAAAAATAGTGCGGGCTCGTGAGCTTTTTCTCGCAAATTTCACTTTTCGATGTTTGGCGTACAATTTCTAAGCATGTTGAAGTTTTCAGCATTGTGATTCACTTGTTTTTGAAAGCATCTGGGGTTTTTTGTTAAAAGTTATTGGCTAACTCTTCAACAACTTAGTGACTGTTTTTAAAGCAAAGCAATTGAAAGGAAAACTTTTCATACGAAGAAGATGAGTGACGATATTTATGTTGGACTATTTTGAGCAGATGCTTCGAAGAACATGATATGATCCGACATTGTATCTTAAAAGTGTACTTGGAACAGCCGAACAAAGTTATAAATTTTGTTACCCGGTGGGTTAATTCACAGGAATAGTACACAGCGGCGTTTATACTGGCTATGAAATATCCTGAATACTTTGTCGAGTTCACTACCGCCATGTGACCTGTAGTTTAATGTGGCACGCGTCTTTGAAATGGCTTTACTTGGCTTTAATCGACGTGTAAGCTATAACTTAAATAAGCCAACATTTCTTTGTAATGCAAGCTACATTTTCATATCTTTAATGTGTGAATATTTTTAATTTTGTAAAAAATTAAGCGCAATATGTTGTTGGCGAAAGTATCGAGTGCTTCATAATAACGCTCAAATGGTCTATTAACTAACAATCTTGAGGATGTAGAATGGCATGTCTTGCTACATTTCCCAATTCTTGAACCTTTTGCGAAAGGAATTGTTGGCACAATGGACAAAAACCTGCCTTGTGTAGACAAATTGTGTGGAAGGAATGACCACAACCTTGGAAAACCTCCCATGGTTCTTCAGTATTTTCAAGCCTGCAGCTTAGGAGGTCACATTTACAACAACTTTCGTCTGGTTCCACAGAAGAATGACAGCCAACAGGAAGCACAGTGTACCTCATATCAACTGGTCCAAACAAATCGGGTAAGCATATCCTGGATGGCTGTGGATCTTGCTGATGATGGTAGTTAGAAATTGTGCACATTTGGTATTGAGAAACTTGAGTTGCTGCAGGGAAAAGTTAAATTGCTTTGCTGGAGTAAAAGTGGAGCGAAAGTTCATTTGACGTTCTTTTGAGCCAAAGATAATCTTAGCTTTTCTTGTAAATTGCTCCGCTGTATCAGATTGGTTTGTTTGGGATCGAAGAATACTGTGGGTATTCTCTACAGGATACTCAGACATCAAATATTGTTGGCCATTTTCTCCACTGGTTGTACAATTCTGGAACCTTTTTTCCCCAATGTGCCGTGCATGACAACCATACAAGAGAGGATTTGTTGTAGTGACGGCGGTTAAGACATATACAAACATTACTTAGATGCGAAACATGGCATTACGGTACTGCAAAAAGTCATTTTGTTTGAAAGTTAAGGTGTATATAGACAATACGAGTGGTAGGTAGTTGTCCAATAAATTAAGAAGCGTAGTGTACTGTAGGTCTTTGGAATTTATTAATGCCAGCTTTGTCATTGTTCGAAATAGTGTCCAGGCGTCATATACAATTTCCAGAATTAAGTTAATTCTCCAGGCTTTTGGTAACCTTGCTAACTTGCTTTTTGGAAAAAGATGATTGTATTCTTTTTCAAAGAATGGTCGAAAAGTGACAAAAACATGCTCTCTGCTATTGAGGGATAATGTGAAGAGGCCCCATTGTTGAACAATTGAACATAGTGCTGGTGTAGGCTTATAACCGTCCGGGTTTGTTGAACTGGTCGGTTTGGACATATAGCTATGATCACAGAAATTATTATCAGATGTTACAACTTGTTTTTTCTCTTGTAGGAATTGGCAATTGATCATAGATCAGTTGGCGACAATAAAACTGGCAGGGCCATTCCCCTGGTTGAACCACCACAAATTTCTTCAAATATTGTTTTAATCTACTAGCAAGTGCAACATCAATTGCAGCAGCAAATCCCTCTTTTGACTTCAGTTGCAGTTCAATAAAGTTGACAAGTTGAAGATTCTCCATGGTCCTCATACTCCTTACTTCTTTGTCATCACAATAGTTATGTTCTTCTAAGACATGTCTCTCAAGTTCAGGGGCAAAAAAAATTTTGTCATCCATTGCGGCATGGACGATGAATAACTCTTGGCTAAAATACCCATTGATTGTGGAGATGTCACTGTATTTTGGCAAGCCTGGATGTCTAAACCATAGTGTGTTTTCACATGACGTCACGGCATAAATTAATTTTATACGCCGCCATGTTAGTGGAGTGAAGTTCCAACATGGCGGTCAGCGATTCGGAACAAAACGTAAACGGCGTGGCAGAAAAAGTAATTATTCATGAGATTCCTTTGTCTGAATATGCAAAATCTCTCGAAGACAACAACAGTCAAATGATTCAGATTGTGGTGTATTTGCAATCGCTTTTGCGACAAGTCTTGTTTACACATTGGATCGGTGGATCCAAATATCCCACGATTTTATAATGTATTAATACAGATGTGAACTTACTTGTATGCTTGCCTGAAAGTTGGTCTCAGTACTCTTTTTCCGACGGCTGAGAGCACAATATAAAATTAAAAGCTTACACCAATATTCAGTTTGCATTTTTATTGAACTAAATATTAAAATTATTATACATAAAACTCTATCAAAGATACAAACTTTTTGCATTAATTTGAAAATTATTGCAGACTTAAGACTTTGATAAACATTAAACATTTTTGGTAGTCAAGACTGAGAACCTCCACATGGTGGCCACTGGGCAACAGCATGTTGTGCAAACAGGGGCGGATTAGCACACCAGGACCCCTATATTGTTTAACTGCACAACATTCTATTTTGCATATTATTCGTACAATGTCATATGTTGGTCTGTTAAATTAAAGTGTTAATCTACCCCTGCGCGATTGTAAACTTTTGCACAACCTGTTGGCTAATCTCAGCACATTACACAAAATCTAAAGGCCTGGTGTCAAATTTGAGTAAAGATTTTGTCTATGGGACCCTAAAGTAGTTTATTGCCCTGGCCTACCCCAAGTCTTTGGGTGGCCCAATCAATTGTTTCAATGCTCATGGTATTCAAACAGGCCTAGTTGAAATAGTAATGTATCCATTCTCACGGAACTTTAAATCATGAACCACAGGGCTTTGACTCCCACAAGTTGAATGTCATAATGATAAAATGGAGGTTTATTCCCCATATCACAAGCCCCAATGACAATTGCATGAAATACTATTGCTGGGATTAGCCAGCATGTTGTGAAACAAACAGTGGTAGATTTTTTACTTTTCAGCTGCAAAGGGGTTTCTTTTTGATAAAGTACAATTAAATAGTCTACTAACCCACCCCTGATTTACACAACATGCTGTTGCCCAGTGGTCACCATGCAGAGGTTCTCAGACTTGACCACCAAATTTCAAAATGTTGAATGAATGTGTTTCTGTTTCTTGGTGAAAACATGTTGTAAAATACTTTACTTCAATCAAAAGGTACAGTAGAAGGGCAAAGGTTTACTAGAGTGCAGAGCAAACTCGAATCATTCTGTCAAATGAGAGGAACAGATTCTCCTTTTCTGAAAATAAGGTAATCAGTTGACAAAGTTTGTTGAAGAATGGTATATTTCTGTCTCAGTATACCAATAATTCTTTCGACATGTATCCGGACAGTAGCAATCTTTCTTGTCTGTTCCACATCAGCAGAATCAAGTTGGTCATTTCTTTTTGTTTTGTGAATGCCGGGATGTTCAATTTGGCTTGGCGAAACTGAACACTTTCATGGACAGTGAAACCCCTATCTGCGAGAACCAAATCACCTGGTATAAGGCTGTCCAGAAAGCCATATATAGTTCTCAGTCAGAAACTTATCTGAAGTCCTCCCTCCCCAAGCTTCACTGACAAAGCAAATTGTACCTTGTGGTGTAATTCCAATTGACACTTTAACAGTGTTGTGATGCTTGTAACTTGAAAACGTTTGTGCCTTGCAAGGAGATTAGTTTGTCTATCAAAAAAAGTCAGCAGAACATGGTTTACCCAGAAATTAAAATACGGATTGAAGCATTGAATCATGACACTCGCTTGTCTGAATGCCAATTGTTATGGTTGAAACGTCTGTATGTGTTATGGCTGGCGTTTCTCAAGTTTTCGTCGGCAAATTTGCTGCGATGTCTTCGATATCGTCCATAGTGATAGGATAAAATAAACATTTAACAACCACACCAGGTTCGTTTACTCTCTGTAACTTCTCTTTGACCATTTCTTCTGTATTCTCATGCATATGCGTTTCATTCGTTCGGCTACTCCAATTTAAATATATGGCCGACAGCCATCTTCGCCTGCGTTCGGTACACAAAATCGCCTTGATTTTTAATAACTTTCGGCACCTGGCAGAAAGAAAGATCTTTACGTTTAGATTTGTCATTTGAACAGTTTAAAACTACACAAAAAGCCGGCATATTAAGGAATATTCCGAACAGATTTGGCACAGCTATAGGTAAACACTGGTAAATTCCTCGCACGTGACACGTTTTACTCCACCAACATGGCGGACGCTAAATTCTAGTGACGTCAATGCGGCTCGCGTGACAACACACTATTGGAATGATGTACATTAAATATGTTTATGATATAGTTTTAAATATATTTTGGGTCCAAAGGTGTAAATATACTGTACACTGTCCAAAGGTGTTAATATAAACAACAAAAGAATGTATATAATTAAATTTTATTAAATAAAATGTTTAATATTTTACAAATTGCATTACCATCGCAAAGTGTACATAGTTATCAATATAATTAGGACTTAGAAGCTGTTCACACGAGTTTGACCCTGACCCAGCACCCTTGGCTAGCTTCCCTTGCCAGATCACAATTAGAAAACCTCCACCCCCTCTCACAAATCTGTCCAGATCTGCCCAAGATGCAGCATTTTCTGGAATATTATTAGCAGTGAAATTGTTGCATATTTTCAAGCATGCATTGTAACCTGATTTTAAAGCCTGTTTGAACATCAGACATTGTGGCAATGGCAAGATGGTCCAGCCATATGAATACAATCTTAAAATATCATAAAAACAATGCAATTTAAGGCCAGACAGCCCAACTCCTTCCCACAGCCCTTCATTACACATTCGAAGCATCTCTTGAGGCATCAAAGTACATGCATGGACATGGAATTACATACGAGTATGTGACATAAGCCCACCATTGCACAACTTGGTCTGCAACAATGCAAATACAATCAAGCTGGAAACGGATTTTATCAGTATTTTGATATATACATTATGGCTGATGTCTACAGACACCTGCACTTTCATATTGAAATTGTTCTAATATCATCATAACAAAACACATCAGAAAACTGTAACATCAGCAAAATGAGCAAATCACTTTTTAATACAATTTATGGTAAAATGAAGCAACATGTAATAGTATCTGAAACAAAATCAAATCACATATTTCAAAAGTTGTAAACACGTTGCATGCATATAACAAAATATCGTCGCATTTCTATTTTCTAATGGTAGCTAACTATAAATTAGGCCAATTTAAACTCGACTATGAAGAATATCAAAAACTAAAGGTCATTTTTATAAACCCAGACTTTAGTTTTCTAAATATATACATTAGCGCTATACGAAGCCAATTAAGGCACATTTTGCCCTAAATACTTGTTCAGAGCCTCAGAGGCGTGTTCTAGTGCACAATTAATTAATCTTCTCTCACAGTTTAAAACAAACAATAATACGAACCTTGATATGTTTATACAACTAATCAAATCTACGAAGGAAAATTTTCAGATAATTTGTTTGACAGAAACATGGCTGGGCGATGAGAACTATAAAAATTTTAACTTGGAAGGTTATGATTTCATTAGTATGCACAGAAGTGGAAAAAAGGGTGGTGGAGTAGGTATATACGTTGCTGAAGATTTACAACATAAATTACGCAAATACCTCAATGTTAACATAGAAGACACCATTGAATCTACTTTTATAGAGATAGCCACTGAAATTGGGAAAAATATTGTCGTCGGAGTAATTTATCGGCCACCAAATAATAAGATCGAAGTATTTCAAGATGCTATAAATGAAATTTTGAGCAAAGTAGATAAAGAGAATAAGATCTGTTATCTCATGGGAGATTTTAATATTGATTTACTTAAATCGAAATGTTGTGATTTTGCCAATAAATTTACAGAACAACTTTTTACATCTTCTTTTTACCCACTCATAACAAAACCAACTCGAATAACATCCCATACTGCTACACCTATAGACAATATTTTTACTAATAACATTGACAACATTGATTCAAGCATAAATGGAATTCTTTTTAGTGATATTTCAGACCATCTACCAATAATTCACAAACTTTTTTTGAATACCCTAAGGCCTAATGAAGACACAGGAGAGAAATACTATACAAAAAGGATACATAATAAAAATAATTCTAGGCTTTTTACAGATGAAATTAAAAATGTATGTTGGGAAGGAACGATTTCTTGCAATAACCCAAACGAGTTCTTTAACCAATTTTCCACATTATTCACAGCTAGTTATGATAAACATTTTCCAATTAAAAGAATGAAAGTAAATAATAAGATTAACACGTACAAAAGCCCCTGGATGGCAAAGTTTGTTTTAAAGTCAATGAAAAGGAAAAATAAATTATACAGTAAATACTTATCAGATCCAAATAAAATAAAATGAGAATTTGTACAAAAAATATAAAAATCGATTAAATCATGCAATTCGATTGTCCAAAAAGAAATATTATGAACAAGAACTAATTACATATAAACATGATTCAAAGTTGATGTGGAAAACAATAAATGAGATACTAAGTAGAAAAACAAATAAAAAGGAACTTCCAAAAGAATTTACTGATATGAATACAACAAATACTATTAAATATCAGTTTGAAATTGCAAATAAATTTAATAACTACTTCGTCAATATAGGACCTAACCGAGCAAAGAAAAGTACAAGTACATCCAATACAAATTTTAGCAAATATCTGACTCATAATTATCTAAAAAGCATGTTTCTTGACCCGATAACAGAATTTGAGGTACAAAAGTGAAATAAACGATTTGAACTCGAATAAAAGCCCAGGGT